CATGGCTGCGCGGGGCCGGCCGGGCTGGGCTGCTCCTGCTGCTGCTCCCTTGCTGCCCGGAGTTCCTCTGCAGGAACGCTGCCGAGGAGAACAGGGTGGTGCTGCCCCTCAGCACCGGCTGCCGGAGCGCACTGAGGAAGCCAGGGACAGCAACGGGCCAGGCCTCCGCGCCAACATTGCCACAGCACTGTGACATCAGCCTCCAGACACCAATCAGGATGGGCCGGGCCAGCTCCCTGCAATGCCATTGGCTGGAGGGATGTGCTAATGTCATAGTCAGCATGGTGGAATGGGTTTGGGTTGACGTGGGAGCGCTCCCATGGACAGAACGTTGGTGACAGCGCTGGGCCTTGGGGCGGCGAGGTTCCCAAAGCCAAGCAGGACAGGCCAGGCCGGGTCCCTGAAACTGTGTGGGCTGGAGGGATGTGCTGATGTCATTGCCATGGTGGCAGAGCAGGTCTTGGATGAGTTGGGGGCGTTCCATGGATGGAATTTTTGGGTATGCCATGGTTACATGTGGTCCGCATAGCAAATCAGAAGGAGCCAGGCCTGGTTCCTACAGCCTTTTTGGCTGGAAGGATGTGATGATGTCATAACCGTGGTGATGTCATGGCCATGGCGATGGAGCAGGTCTTGGTTGAGTAGAGAACGCCCCATGGATGGAATTTCAGGATGTGCTATGGTGATATCACTGTGCCATGGTGACACCAGGTCTCCCAAGCCCACCAGAAGGAGCCACATCCTCTTCCTGTTACCCTGTTGGCTGGACCATGTCACAGATGTGGTGATGTCACAGCTGTGGTGGTGACATCATATCCCTTCACCCAGGGCCATGCCCCTGCTCCAGTGCCAGAATTTTGGCTCCGTTTCTCACCCAATGTTTTACAAACCTGTAACACCCAAGGAGGGAAGTGGAGCCCTTGGATTTTTTGTCATGATAAAATGTGGAGCTGCCGCTCACTGCTGCGAGGTGGCAGCTGATAATGGGAAAATGGTTTAGTAGCAGCCCTAAAAATAATTGTCTGTGACAGCTGTTCCTTGGTTCCTGTCAGGAGAACCACTGTTATTTAAATCCACAGCCCTTGGACTCCATGGCCAATTTATTTGGGTGGACTTTTCATTAATTTGAAAGGTTCTGCGGGTTTAAAAGCCTTCATTAATTACGCTTTAGCAGATGGGAATGCAATAAGGTTCTGCAGGTTTGTCTGGGAAGAAAAGAAATTCCAAGCGGTTTGTTTGGTTGTTTCCAAAAGGTGAAATCAGCCATTCCCAGGCAGAGGTGAGCTTGCTGTCCCCATCAGAATTCTTGTGACCGAGGACAGGACTATGAATAAAACAAATTGAAATTTTGACCACTCATTCTGAGTACAAGGTGATTTATTGAAGTTCCCAGTAGTGTTAAATATTCATATGTAGCCGATTGCATAAGTACTAAATTATGAAACAGCTCCTGCTCTGTGGAACTGTCTCTCTGAAAGGTAAAGATGGGGGAGCAGAAGCCTTGGAAGTTGGGAGTCATCCCTGAGTTACACACGGATAACTCTGGAATTGCGTAATTCCAGCGCAATTAGGGCTTGTGTAATTACTAGGCTGGTTAATCCTGGCAGAGAGGGGCCGAGGACTCATCAGGCTCATGGCAAAATCCAACCTGGACAAAACGTGCTTCTCAATTCCCCTGCTGTGTTTACTCCAGGTTGTTTTCCAGGGGCCTCAGCCTGGTAAATAAACTCTGATTTCCCCACCAGCCTCATTCCTTTCATGTCCCTGCTCTCCCTTTGCGTGGAGAGGGTGATTTGCATTCCATTTATCTCTCCCTTCCCTTGTTTCCTTTGCTCTCCAAAGAGAATCTGCCCTGGTGATTATTCTGGGGCAATGAAATAATTTCATTCCAGCAGTCACAGGTCCCTTCAGCAGGTGCTTTATTATCTCAATAATTCAGCCTGAGAGACTTTCCAGCCTCCCCAGTTCCCACAGTTCAGGAGCTACAAATAAAACTCTTTTGCTCTTTTCCTGATTTGGTTTATTTAGCCTTTTTTTTTTTTTTTTTTTTTTTTATTTTTTTTTTTGTTCCTGTGTTCTTTCCAGATCCTCCCCAGGAATTATATTTAAATGTGGAATCAATGCTGTTCAGCCCAATGGCCTTAAGGGGTGCATTGTGTTAATATGCACGTAAGGGCAGCGCTGTCCCACTTGGGCTGGGTCATTTATAAAATTCACTTTGAATTGAGGCCATTTATCTGAACTCAGCACAATGTTTGCTCATGTCCCTAGATTACCTACATACTCCATCAAAATAGATCAGTTGGATCCAGGGAAATCTGGGATAGAAGTGCTGGAATAAACACAGGGCATTGCTGGGGTGGGACACATCCATCGATCCTGTCTCCAACGTGGAGTCGGGGTTAACCACCACCACTTTTATGGGGCCTCTGCAGGCAGAGAGACCAGAATAAAGCACCTTTATTGCTCCAGCTTGCTCTTCTATTGGAGGGTTTCATGTGGAACAGTGATTGTTAAGGACAAATCATTTGTGGGGAGCAGAGCCCAGGAAAACCAGGCTTTGGACAAGACACTGCAGAGGTTTTCCTGTGGCTGTGGCTGCTCCAGGTATTTAATGATGGGAATAGACATAAAGACGTCCTGGAATTGGTGATTCAAGGGGATTTGTGTCCATTTTCCTGCCTGAACCTGAACAAGGCCTGTGGCTATGCTGAGACCTTCCCAGTGCCCTGATCTCATCAGGACACTGGGTCCAGATGTGTCCTGAGACTGCCCAGACCTGATCAGGGAGGAGAGATTTTGCCACCAGTCCTGGCAGAAATGAAATCTTGGTTGTGGACCTGTTTGGATTTGCAGTGAAAAGCAGAATTTGCAAAGCTTGTATTTAGCAGATAATATTGTATCCAAAGAGGCAAAATGGAAAAAAAACCAACCAAATGAAAAAATCCCAAACAAACAAACAAAGAAACCCCAACCACAAATGCCACAAAACTGCCCAGAAACCCCTCACAGACCTTGGCCACTGCTCTGCCTGCCCTGTTAGGTAATGAGTGTTGATAAAGGGATGGAATTGGCTCCACTTTGCCATGGTGGGTGAAAATTCCATGCCAGGAGGAATAATGTCAAACGCAAGCCAGGAAAATTAACAGGAGGAGAAGACTCTCCATGAATTGCAATTAAAGTTGAGGCAAAGCTGTTGCCAGAGCGCTTCCAGCAGTGTTCCCAGTCCCTCCCTGTCAGGAGCAATCCTTGGAATACACAGCAGCTCCTCATTGGAAATAACAAGTTTTTACTGTTACTTTTTAAAAGGCTGGAAATGAAAACAGCCTCTTGACAGAAACCATCAGGACACACAAAAAACCCCAACAACCTAAGCAGGAAGATGAGAAAAATGTCACTGCTTGTAATGATGTTAATTAGGAGGTAAATGAATGTTGACATTTGAGAGCTGAGCTGAAAGGATCAGACGTGTGAAGGTGTGGAGGATCTGTGTAGAGTCTGATGGAGAAGCTGAAATGTCTGCAAGATTCCCATTCCTGCAGGAGTAGAAGAAAGGAAAAGGCTCAGCATTTTCTTTGTTGGTTCTCATAATTACACAGGGTGAATCCAGCTTTTAAAAGCTTCATATCTTGGACTCTTCCCTCTGATTTGGGATGGCAGGAAAAGGTCTCAGCATGGGGATGGGGCCTTAAAAGTCCCAAGGTGAACAGAAAATACTGTATTTTATAATCTGGTGATATTTGGGTGAATTTTTGCATTTATTGCAGGCACAGGTGCTCTCAGGTGTGTAAAGCAGAGCTCAGAAGCTCTGTTTGAATCCCAACAGTCCCTGTGTAGCTCAGGTGTGCACCTTCAGCCCAGTCTTGGTGCCTCAGCTGGTTTTGTGGTTTGTTTTGTGGTTTTTCCTTGTGCAAAGCAAAGGGGAGTAGAACCATGGAATCATGGGAGGGGTTGGGTTGGAAGGTATGGAACACATGGGACACGTCCTTCCCACTTCTGTTTTCTTCTGTTAAGGTAAAATCCTTTCACTCCATTCCTTGAGGATTCCTTGAGTGCTCATTGTGCCTGAATTCCACAGCCTGGGAGACTTGGCTTTTGGCTTTTGCAAGCTGGAGTGAGGAGTCCTTCCCCTCAGGAATTCATCACCTGCTGCCATCCCTCCTGCACTGCTGAGGGTCACCCTGGTGGCTTTTCAAACTATAACCTTTATTCCCTTTTCTTTTTTTCCAGTCTCATTTTCCTGCTGTGAAGTCAGGGATCAGGGAGGTTTCTGTCCTGGAAACTGGAGCTGCTCAGCAGGTGTTTCCCATCTTTAGGGCCTTGTGCTGCCAGATTCTCCTGGGAATGCTGCAGTGCACCAGGAGAATCTTCCTGGAGGTGTCTTGACCTTCTCACTATGTCCTCAAACCAAATTTATCCTCTTTACAAGCCCTGTGGATTTTATGCTCCCAACTCCCTCCTTTTCCCCCTTTACTGCCCTGGTGGGAAGCGAAAGGGACAGGAGGGGAATGGTGCTTCTCGTGCTGCTGAAAGCTGCCAGACCTTCCACTGCACGTCATAAACTCGTTCCTTCCTCTACAATTCACACCATGTTGCCTTTTATTCCTGACCCTTTTTAATGTGAGTAGTTACTCCTGTTTCCCACTTTAATGCAATTATACCACACTTCTCCTTGCCCATATCCCAGGAAGCTGCCCAGCCATTACATTACATTAAATGGAGTAATTGCAAGATTAGGTTCCTTCAGCTGGGCCATAAAGAAAATGCCATTACAGAGGAACTGCAGGAGAGCGCCTGGAGAATCGGGCTTTGAGGCTGAAAGCTCTGCAGGAGTATTTTTATTGTTATTGACCACCCCAGGGCCTCTGGGAGAATGAAGCCAAGGGCATTCCTGGGGTTTTTGTCCTCTGGGGAAAGAGGGAAGGCAGGAGTGGCTTCACAGGGGGTGGGTGGGATCAACTGGGCTGTAGGTCGTTGTCTTCAGCGAGAATTAAAAATATACATTGTCAGCCCTGTGAGGCACATCTGGGGTGCTTGTCCAGCTCTGAATCCTCAGCACAGCAGGGACAGGAGCTCCTGGAGCTGAGGAAGGGCCTGGAGCA